AGCATCATGCACCCCCGCCGTGCGTGACTGGCAGCCGGCGCCCGAGCTTCCCCGCGCCGGAGAGGAGGACGGCGAAGCAGATCGTCGTCGGCATCCTCGCGGACGTCTGACGGGTGGTCGCTTCCGTCTTCGCTTGTTCCTGCTGCACTTCTATTCGGTTCTCTTCTCACCATTTTTAATTCCGAGTTCTCGCCCTTCCACCGCTCGTCGTGTGTCTACTCGCATCGCCCGACCCGCTCGCGTTTGCGGGCGCTGTTCAGGCAACCGGCGGGTAGATCAGTGGGTGACTAGTGGGTGACCAATGGGCGACCAGTGAACGTGTCAGAGGGCACACACGGCGACGCCAAAAAATAGTCAATGTATTTGTATTACAGTCTTTTTGTGACAAAAGTAAGCTCTCCCATTTAAGCAAATAGATAGTAGACATATACTTTTTTTGTACCTATCTCAATAGAAAATATATCTATTATTCTATATATGGATAGCTCAGTGGTATTTTTACCCCTTTTTGCTGCAAGCAGAGCAGCTTTTTACAACAAGATTCACCAAAAAAAGGTTTTATTGTTTGGCTCCTATTTCCAGGCTTTACCTATTGTATGTTTTTACCAGAAAGTGTTCGGTCTTTTTAGCTTCTATTCTCATACCAATTTTCGTGCCTCTTTCAGCTGAAAATATCAACTAATTAGCCCCGTGAGACGTGCTCAGAACGCTCATGGACAACGTGGAAATTGCGATGTGAGTAGCACTATTGTGTGAAAGCCTAAGTATACTGATAGCTCCCGAGAACCAAACACAATTTCTTGTAAGTTGGAAACAGTGGAAAGTGCTTTTGGCGCAGTGGAAACGCTACGCGGCGTGCTTATCATGCACTTAACTACGTCATTGAAGATTTTAGTGTCGCAGACTTACAGAAAGGCGTGACTAGCCTTTCTACAAGTCTCGCAATGGCTCAATGCGGATCTGACCAGCTTAACTTTTAAATCAATTACTGAAATTTATGCAGAAATCTCACGCAAATCCTGTGGACATCATTACAGGACCCGGTCGGAAAGACCAAAGACTCGGTGGCGATGGTGAAATATTTAATCACACCTAGTCAAAAGACATGGAGAAAGGCCAAATCTTTGCCGTGATTTATTCCGCGGTATCTGCAGTTCGTGTCTGCTCGCTTCGCTTGTCATTCGTAGCAGCTACAAGTCCGTGCTGAGCTGGGGGACAAATTTACACTCAGAGGCGAATAGAAATTGTAACAGGAAATCAGCCTCACCCTCTTCGAAACGGGGAGCCAAGGATACAGCTTGCTGAAGCTTCACCATGTGGCTGCTAAAATCCGCGAGTGCCCCTCTATCCACATTCCTGACTATGCACACCATCAGAAACGGCACCATACCATCTACCTCGGGCTTTGAGCTGACGTCCGTCGCATCCACGATGTACTTGATCTTTTTGCAGACCGCGCGATGGGGTGCATCCTCGTGCCTCATGCCCTTGCGAGGCACTCTTTCGAGCAGTACGTGACGCGCTTGCAGCTCGAGCACGCCGCGAACGCACGTCCGGCCCCGACGAATGTCTCGCCACAGCCGGGCGACCAGCAGCGCTCAGAATACCAGAGACGCAAGAATCCTTCGTATGCAGAGGAAGTAGGGTCGCCCTGAAGGTTGCGACGTAGCTCTTGTGAGAGAGAGACAATCTGACCGCCGTACTTGTTCGTGTCGTACGCAAGGTCCAAGTGGTCGTGGAAGATAGCGCCGGTGGCGACGAGCTCTTGTGCGCACTGCTCGACGTCACGGACCGCTTCAGAATTTGGAGGCATCAACTGAGCTAATGCGGGTAATACGTCTAGGGCATCTCGGCAGATGGAGAGGAGGTTCCGATCTGGGTCTTCGGGAGCAAATTGCTCGTTTGCACGACGGAACAAGATACGAGACTCGTCTCGATCGAAATAGTTGGCGAGCATCTTGTAGAGAACGAGCACCCTTTTCATCTCTGCAAAAAGTTGTTCATCACTTGGACTCAATCTACCTCGCATGGATAGCATGCGGAAGGGTGTCTCGGCGATACCGACGAACCTGCCTGGAAGCGTAGGCGAGACTAGGATCGGCAGAACGACTTCTTTCCTAAATAGCTCGATGATACTGGCAAAGAGTCCGAGCCATATGCAGTCAGGAGCGGAGAACTCGAGCCAGACGGCGAGGGCGGCTATGGAGGCGTCGACGCCGTACGGAAGCACATCGTGGGGCGTCCTCGGCCAGGGTACTGACTTCCCCTGGCGAATGGCGCGCTCTTGGTTCTTCTCCACCTTGTGCAATCTTGCCTCGTCTCGGACCGGCTGCAAAACATTGTGGATCTGACTCGCGATAAGCCTCGCGAGACCTTTGTATGAGCCCACGCCCCATTCCCGGACGCCAACCTCGTGAAGTCTCTTCAAACGACCATCATGGAGGTCGCACTTGCAGACACGCATCTCTGCTTGCAGCCGATTGTTTTCCTCGTCTGAGCGTAGCACGGTGAGGAACCGTGCGCATACATCCAACAAAGCCGAGCGGTTGACGCGAAAAACTGTGTAGTTCCGTTTGCCAAGTGAATATGAAGGAACCAGGCTAAGAAGGCAGCCTGTCAAGCACTGCGCGCAGTGCTTTGGGTTGTGGGGATCGTCGAGTGAAGATTCAAATGTGTCGGCTACGAAGTCCGCGTCAACGCTGCCGGGGAATGTGTGAAGCTTCGTGATATCTGCTCTGGTACAGATTCCAAACGCTCGTTAAATCTACACCGACAAGCGGCAGAGAGAATAGCACTAAGCGATAAAAGTGTCGATAATGAGCTCACAAGAGGGGTGTATGCTCGTGAACGGGCCAGAAACTGAACTGTAAAGCTCAGGCCGCGCGACTCAGCCAAGAGCCTGAGAACAACAACCGTGAGAAACGGCTGCATCCTTGAGTAGCCTTTCGAAAGTTGTCGAGGGATGCAAAAGGAAGTGTCGTTTGATATAATAGTGGTCTATCCCGCGATACACCAGATACAGGGCATTATGATAAACACGAACTAGTTGAGAACCCTCGGTGCACAAAAAGATACGGTCAGCTATGCAGAGTTTCGCCATTCCTGGGCGTCAGGTACAAATCATCCCCAGCCATGCGAGAACGCGAAAGCTGCCATCGGGAGTCAGTGCCAGCCATGGCTAGCCCGGATGGACCTCTCCTCCTCTATCCTTTAGCTCCGCCCATCGATTCTTCCCAAACTTCTCCAGCTCACCATGCCACTTCAAGAGGGCCTCCAACTAGACGCCATGCGATTTGAAGGGCTTGGGAATGGTGAACCTTCGTAATATGCTTCCTGCATTCCTGCAACTGCTCCCATAGTCGTTTCCTGTGGTGCAACAATGAACATATCGTCCGGATCAGCCACCAATACGAACGGGGGCCCTCCGGCGCTGAAGAACATGTGGACATCGCAGCCAGTATTTTGATAGATGAGGGGTTGGCGTGCCGAAGTAATTCAAGGTGTGCTCGAGGCCACACGAGAAGCGACTGGGGTAAGGGATAAACGTGAGCGGATGGAATGTCGGGAGACAACTGGAAACATCATTAGGACTTAGAGTAAGCTGTGTAAGCCAACTACAGCTCCATCCTGCAGGCCCACGCGTCTATTTTCATGCCAGGAGTGCGAGAGCTCCTTCAGCGCATCCATCGGTGATAACGTGGCGCGCTGCATGGGAACGGTGGTGTTAGACTGCACGTAACAGCAACCTAGGACGCACAAGTCAGCATATACGACTAGACTACACTTTGTGGGTATGATAGCTTACGTTAAAGAGCCCCATGCCGCCATCTTCGGAAACAAACTCGCTCCGTAGAAGGCAGCCCGCCAGTGTCGGTAAGAGAACAGTGCTGAAGTTGAGCAGGGCAAGCTTGCCAAACCTGTTCCCTACGACGAGCAATCCGGGTGTATCATCAAAATCGTACATCGTAGCCAAGTAAAGTGTTGGCGTGTCGGCTCTTGTTAACTTGGCAGATGTCACCCTGTTCAATGCCACCAGCGCTGGAGTTACCGCCGGCCGGAAGTCGTGTGGCGGAAAGAGGCTGAAGAGGAATCTATGTCAGAAAGAGATCCACCACTGGGGAATAATAAGATACACTTACCTGTGCGTCTTATATAAGCATAGTAAGATGCCCGCAAGATAGTGGTAAGTGGCATACGTGCGAAAGCCTAGAGTGCGAGTCGCCGTACGACTCATAACAATGCCTGTACAGTACGACGGGCCCTGACAAGGTTAACTGAACGGTGACCCCTGAATGCCTCGTTTGCCCGCCTCGCACAGCATACAGCGCTATAGGAATAGCTTCAAGGTGTAGCTGTGTCCTTCATAATTACTCGAAAGCACTTACACGGTCATCACAAAGCGTTCCATGCCGCTCACGTGATGTGATGGGCGCCCCGCCGATTAGCCGACGATTGCCAAATGGAGACTGTCCCGCATTCATTACTACCTCTCCTTACCTCTTGACCACCATTACCCGTCACGACTGCCCACGCTGAGTATCACGAACCATGGGAGAAGATGGAATCATTAAGGATACGCTCCCTCCCTCCAAGCTTGGAGAATACACCGTCATCCAAGAGATTGCGGAAGGAACGTTCGGCAAGGTCAAGAGTCAGTTTGTGTCTTTGTTGGGTCGATCCCCGCTAACAGTCTTGCAGTGGCGATACACACTGTTACCGGCCATAGGGTCGCCATGAAGTTCATTTCCAAGCAGGTGATTAACGCCACGAAGACAAGGACGAGGGTGCAGCGAGAGGTCGAGTATATGCGGACGCTTCGGCACGCGCATATCATCAAGCTGTAAGTTTCACCTTGTGTAATCTCCTAGTCTCTGAACACTCCATTGTCGCAGTTACGAGGTCATCTCGACGTCGACAGATATCATTATCGTCCTCGAATATGCTGGTGGCGAGCTCTTCAACTACATTGTTGCCAATGGCCGCATGCCCGAACCCCAAGCACGGCGGTTCTTCCAGCAGCTCATATCCGGTATCGAGTACAGTCACCGGCTGAAGATTGTGCACCGAGATCTCAAGCCAGAGAATGTCTTGCTCGATGATGATCTGAACGTCAAGATTGCCGACTTTGGCCTGTCAAACGAGATCAAGGACGGTGACTTTCTGAAGACGAGCTGCGGCAGCCCCAACTATGCAGCACCAGAAGTTATCCGTGGCGGACTCTACACCGGGCCTGAGATTGACGTCTGGAGTTGCGGAGTGATTCTCTACGTTATGCTCTGCGGCAGACTACCGTTCGAGGACGATGACGTCCAGACGTTGTTCACGAAGATCAGCCAGGGCGTGTATCACATGCCCTCCTACCTCTTACCCGACGCCAAGAACCTCATTACGGGCATGCTCGCGGTCGACCCTGTGAAGCGCATCACTGTACCCGAGATTCTCCAGCATCCGTTCTTCACCACCGACCTCCCCCGCTACCTGCAGCCGCTGCCACCACCGCCAGGACCCATCTTGGGCCCGCTGTCCTCACTGGTCTCGCCGCCAAAGGCTCTCGACTACGAGCTCATCGAGGGTCTGGGCCGCATCGAGGACGACGTCGTCGATGACCTCGCTTCGCGAATGGAGGGTGTCGATAAGGACGACATCTACGACAGCCTACGGCGAGATGACGGCCCGCAAGGGAATGCAGTCAAAGTGGCATATACGCTCCTGCGCGACAAGCGACGTCTAGGACGCGACCTTGCCGAGTTTATGGAGCAAGAGCGTGACGCAGAGCTGGCAGCCATGGACCCCCGCAACCCGCTGTCGCCGAACGCGATCTCCCCAGGCGGTGGGACCGAGCTCGAGGAGAACCCGTTCGACTCCGAGTTCAACGAGTACGACGAGGACGAAGACGACGGGCTCGACTTCTCGACGCCGCAGAACGAGTCGGAGAACAACTTCGCCGTCCTTAACTCGTCGCTACCCGACCAGCTGCCCGAGCAACACCACCTTGCGTCCTACGTCACCGCCAAGCGGACGTTCCCGCCGGTGAAGGAGAAGAAGCAGCACCGGACCAAGTGGCACTTTGGCATACGCAGTCGGTCGCCGCCGATGGAAGTCATGCTGGAGATCTACAGGACGCTGAAGGCGCTTGGTATGGAGTGGAAGGAGAAGGGCGACCTTGGTGGGCTCGGCGGAATTCGGCGTGGACGCGGGTCTGAACGGGCGAAGATCGAGCGGGCGCGGGAGTACGATGGGAACTATGTCGACCTACGGGCGGCGGCGGCGATATACTTCATCGAGACGCGGGCGAGGGTCCAGGATGTTGTGGTGCGTGTCTTAAGCTTCATCGCATGAGAAATTACTGATTCTCCCCCAGGTATTGATGAACTTGCAATTATACATGGTCGACTCGATCAACTACCTCGTCGATTTCCACCACAAGAAGACATACAAGGCGTCGATGGAGCCCGGGACGGGCAAATTCGACATGGCGCACTCCGACTACAACCTGTCCGAGACAGCATCCGAGTGCAGTCGGTCGATCAAGGACTTCAGCATCCGAGAAGACGAGGTCGTCTCGCCGTTTGTCTTCATGGATGTCGCGTGCCGGCTGATCCTCGAGCTTGCGGGCGGCACCGAGTAAGGCCCATACGTGTTTTCTGTATTCTTATAATACTCTCGATGCGCTATGCTTGTTGCTATTATCTTCGTCGCTTGGAGTCATTGACTTAACCACCACCATTCCCGCTACCCTCGTCTTCGCGTCCGTACTAGTGCACGGCTGCTTGCTTTCCGGATATATTTACGTTATATCTCGTCGATTCTCTATACCAAAAATGTGTACACTAACGCTCCTATGATAAGCACACGAAGCAGAGCTCACGACATGCAATAGCTTCTCCGCGTGCAAAGTGCACCTCTCGTCCTAGTTGTTGTCAAGTTGAATCCTCGCAGATAGCTTCGTACGTGACTTGATGATCATAAGTTCGATGGCGGCCTGCCCAGCGAACAGCCAGCCCATTTGGGGGTTGACGAGGAATTGTGCCAGTTAGTTGAGCAGCCGGCTTTGTACGATGAGATCGACCACTCCGTGACATACCACCTTCGCCCTGCGCCTTCCGGATGCAGAGCGAAGTGCTTCTCGGCAACTCAGCAGTGTCTCCTAGGAGGCCGATTGCATTTGCTCTGTCGACGAGTCCTACTGTAGGCATGATGGGCATCCACATATTCGCAGCCTGCATAGGGCTGGCGAGAGGCATTAAATTCTCTATCGCTGTGGGATGTCAAAGCAGTCAAAGCATAGACGGCCCGCGGTCGCTCACAGTTCAGATATGCGCTTGGCATACATCATGTACCGTCCTTCATCACCTTCCAGAGCCGGCAGAATCTTGCGCAGGTGGAGCAGCCTAAGAAAGGCCGCAGAGGCAGCACAGTGCATCCGGCGCCGGCGGACATAGCTGTACCACAAACAAATTATGAGTATCAAGGCCACGCATTGGTCGAAATTCTTAGGCTCACGCGCCAGTTCCTTGTCGTATTGCTCTGTAGTCTTGTCTACACATCTACACCAATAACGTGTGCCAGATCGAACAGCGGTACGATATCAGGACCTGCGTTGGTAGCGATAATGGACTTCCGTCGCCTGACGAGGTCCCAACGGGTGGCATCGTCCGCGATTCGATACAAGGAGTTGTAATGATGGAGCGGCTTGGAGCCGTTAGGCAAACTGGATAAGGTTAAGGCTTCCACCTGCGCAAGAGTCGGAAGCGTGAGGCCCAAGGAGAATTCGTTTCTGCACGCACACATCCGCGGAGCAGCTACGATCCAAAAATTTAAACTCAGAGCACGTGAGAAAGCGGCAAGCCCCGGCCGGCACTTCTCTATTTGGACATAGGGCGCATCATCAACCGCGATCTTGCGCATGATCCTCGTCAGGCGACGGAAGTCCATTATCGCTACCAACGCAGGTCCTGATATCGTACCGCTGTTCGATCTGGCACACGTTATTGGTGTAGATGTGTAGACAAGACTAGAAAAAAATGAAAGACATGTACACATGGCGATCGTTACATTGACATCCCGGTCGGTTAATTACAGCTCCAGCGTACGCTATTTGCTACGGTAGTACGTTCGACAAAGACGCACAATAATCTGTGTATCATGGCACCTGTTCTAAAGATCACTGCATTTAGCCCGCATAAGTAGACCAGGAACGGATCTTGGCTCCATAGCGATGGCTACAGCTGGCTCAGTCGTGGACATCATTGACGACGTTGGAGAACTCACAGAAGGAATGGGATCGGCAGCATGAATACAGCGATTCCGCCAATAATACTCAACGCAGGGCCTACGCCCAAGTTATTGAAGTACGCTGACAGTCGGAAGCATCGATCAGAGCTCGACTCCAAACATGCAAGGGGAAGACGAACCGGTGCTAAACAACGGAAACGCGGCGCCAATGAGCGACCGGTACAGGTCGTTGCTCGCCATTACAGACGCGACATGGCGAGGATAGCAGTCGGCAAGGTAGCTGCGGAGGCCGAGCCGTCAGTGCGAGACTCAAGGAGATACGAGCGCGTCAGGAGTGCTTACTTCAAACCGGCCTGGAATATATAGAACGCACTTATTGCGTACATCGAGGAGGCGATAATGGGAACAATCCAGTGCGTGCCGGCTCCGCTCGTCCAACCGAACCAGAACAAGGATATCTGGAACGAGAACGGTTCAGAGACAGGCACTTCAAGCTGCCATTAGGTGGGGGTCTTACCGCAAAGAAAAATGCGCCGGGGAATGCAGGTGGCAGTCTATCTTCTGGTACGAAAACTGTGACGTAGATGCGCAAGATGAGCATCAAGTTGCGTGCAGCGCAAATGATGGGATCATACCTCCCCTAATGAACTTGGGCTTGAGTATATAAAGTGCCCAAGGTACGAAAGCAGCGAATCCCACGAAGGCACCCACGACAATGCCCTACAAAAGACATGTGAGGCGGATTCAGAAGCACGTTGGGGAGGAGCGGTGGATTACCAGAAAAGCTAGGCCATTTTGCCCCAGGTTGAAGTGATGGTGTCCGATGAAGACTACGTCATAAGAGGCGACGAAGCAGTACAAGACACCTGGAGAGCTTATTGATATTTGCGATATCGAGCAGCATTATACAAACAACTCACCGTACGCCATTCCGATATACAGATTCCAAAATAGCAGGACGGGTTCCCTAAACCCGAGATAAAACGGTCGAATGAGGGTCATCATGGCAACTTCTTTCATAGTCATGTTTTCCGCCTCTATCTCAGCCTGAGACTTCAGGTTTGACTTCCCCGTCAGCTTGCGCAGACGGACAGCACGGCTGTAGAGGATCCTATTGACAGTTGCAAACAAACACGATGTGAAATTTTATAACAATGTTGACTGGGTCACTCACGCTTGGGGCGACGTCTCCGGCATCGTAAAGACTAGGAAGACCCAGGTAGCACCAGTGAGCCAGAGTATGATCCAAATTGTCCACGTCCAGCCTTTGGCCTGGGACGCGAAGCCGCCAATGAGGGGGCCCAAGCCCGGACCACACATCGCAGCGAGAGACCACACGGCTAGAGCGATCATCTGATCTTCTGGCGGCCACATGTCCGCGATGGTCGCGCCGCCGGTAGCGAATACCGGTGAACCGAAGAACGCCGCCCAGTACCGCAGGGGCAGCAAAGCGCCGAGATTCTTCGATAGTGCAGTCGGGACCTGAAGAAGCACGAATATGAGGAGGGTGATCATGTACACCGGTGCTCTACCGAACTGAGGGATCTCGCTCATTGGAGAGAGAAACATCTGCGGCTTTTTGTGAGATACTCAGCCAGAGAAAGAGTTAAGCATGCGCACCGGTCCAGTGGCGTACCCAAGGACGAACATCGTGATGCCAAGGTTTCCTGCCACAACTGAGACGCCAAACTTCTGAGACAAATCCAGAACACCCGGTGCATAGATGGATGAGCCGATGAAAATGGCAAATAAAAGGTGCGAGACCTGGCCGGTGACGAAGCACCGCTTCGCGAACGACCACTGGAGAGACGAGATTAGTAGCTGTACGAGCACTGTATACACATGCACGCACGTTCCTGGGGCACTCAGGATCATCAGGGCCGTACCAATCCACGATGTTTGGGTCCTCGTGGGCCCGCTTCTCCTCCTTCTCCACTGCAGCTGGATCCGCCTTCTCAGCGTCGTGCGAATGCAGATGGAGCACCTCGCGCGCGGCCGCGCTTCCTCCGTACGGCATAGTATCTTTGCTATGCTCTTCGATCCCGGCCATGTCGTTGTTGAACAAGGTGCTACTTGATGCATGCATGTCCCTTGCGGTCAATCCGGTAGGCGAAAGGTCGCGCAGCGACATCGAGCTCGCTGAATGTCTTGCCTGCAGACCGAAGCCGGCCATGTGGGTACCCTTGCTCTGCTCTTCGATTCCGGTCGTGGCGTTATCGAAGAAGGTGCTACCCGATGCGTACATGTCCCTTGCGGCCAATCCGGTAGGCGAAAGGTCGCGCAACGACGTCGAGCTCGCTGAATGACTTGCCCGCTGACCGGAGCCGGCCATGTGGATAGCATAGCGGGAAGGCAGCACGAAGTCAGGTTGCTCCTCAGGGTGTCGGAACAGACGTCTGCCGGACACGTAGTAGGCAATTCGGCCGAAGAAGGAGTCGCGCAAGAAATCCGGCGTGCGCATTGTGACTACGGCAGAGGAGCAGTGAAATCCAAGGAAATTAGTCGTATTCCGCAGTGCGAGAGGCGACATAAATACCGTCTGGAGCTCTGCACTACGCGCCTAATGTAGGGCGTGCTCCCAGTCCCCGAGCCAAAACAGGTTTGCAAGGCTCATGCGAAACGACGCCGACGTAAGTGAAACGAACACTGTCGGGCACGCCGTTCGCATGTACCGACCATCCTTTGTCTCGCACCGGGACTGTCTTGGGCCCCGAGCGTACTAACAGCCTGGGCCTACAAACGCCGATCAGTTACAGACTTGAGTGGAACTGCTCACCAACTTCTAGCATCATTCTGCACCACAAACAATCGATACTCGGGCAGCGTGAAACAGGGTTTTACAGCTTCAAGTTGGATAGCCACTGCGAGCTGGTTCCGAATGATATCCATCTTCTAGTTTGGAAGCCGGTGGGCCTTTGAGTATTATGCGGATCTCGGTCAGATACCGACACCACAAAGCTGGTGGTCTCAGTGTGGCGTTTTTCTCAGGGTACACACACAACGGGCAAAACCCGCATCCAGTTCCGCGCGAGGTGCGACTGGACATCATCTCCATACTATGATGGCACCCTCGTTTATTAGTGTTCCCTGCTTTATTAATTTGCTTTTGCTACTTCAATCTGCCTCCGGAGGTGCTGGGAATATTTTTTAAGATAGCTCTGTATTCATGCTATAATATGATACCCATATCATGACATATATAAGGTGAAAGACGGTATGGTATTTTTATAGATGCTCAGAAGCAGTCTAAAACTGGCTGAAACATGCTACTGATGGCTAGATCCAACCAGATCTCGCTCACCAAATATTCTTGCGACTACATTTATGAACTTGTGCACTTGCACTGAGCCTGGTAGGCTGATATATTTTGTTTTAAAAGTGCTAGGTACATGCACAGAGAAGGAACAGTTGTGGAGCGTTACAATGAACGGGCAAGGTGTGATGAAATTGTCACTCCGCCTGATCTCAGACACGGCAGGCAACGAGGGGGCTCTCGACAGCAAGTCGCAACG